CAATATGGCGCCCGGACCGGACGTTTGATTTCCGGTGATTTTTCGGCATAATTCCAGAGACCTTCAACTAATTACATTTAAAAATGTTTACCACGCGCAAAATGGCGGGATTTCCGTGTCATAACAACAAACAATAGGTGGCAGGGTTATATATGCCAGAAAAGCATTTTAAAATTTGGTTTGGAGACCGGAGGCTAAATTCAAAAGTTGGTTTCATTAAAATTAATAGAATTTGAAAAATATCAACTATATAGGTACAAAAATGATCATATAAGTAAAGCATTATTAAGTCTATCAGTCTATGTAAAAAGAAAGCAAATATTGTTGGCACTTTTTTTATAAGATCGGCTCTCATATCACAACCAATTTATTTTTATTTTTTAAAAACCACGTGACCGCTATTTGAGATCACTAGTGAGGAACTCTGGGTGCATGGCCACTTAAAAAGTCTAACCTGATTTGTGGTTTTCTTAAGCATCAAGGGTTAGAAGAGTTGTCATGGAGAGATGTGTTGGCCATGGCAGTGAGTGTCAATAAATATTAAATTAAGTAATTTAGTTTAAAATGAACTAAAAACTTCAAAATTAGAGCCTAATGGATTAAATATGGATGTCTATTATTCAGTGGTCATGTTTATATTGAAAATTGCGTAAATTTTAGATTTAGTAAGAAAAACTAATATCTATCCTTAGTTACTGATGTGCTTTACTACATTTTCCACACAGGTCATATGATTTTAAAACTAGGCATCTTACTTTTAACTAGTTTTAACTTAACTAGAATCTATATCTAATATCTAGAGACTAATTCACAAAATATTAATATATCAACACTGCTTTTAAAAAATACATGTTTAACCGAACCATTTTTAAATTTTGTTCTTGACAAATACAAATCGTAGATCAGTGTTACCTCTCAAATCTCATTTATTACCATTAATTAACCCTATAGATCTATATAATTTAACAATAAATGATTACCAAATTATTTTTAATTAAGGACAGACAACTCTCATTAGACTTGATTAGACTCTTTACTACTTTCTCTACTAAGCTTTGCTGCTTTAGGCTTTCCGCTTGTCTTTCTCTTTGGTTTCCATTGCTTGCCTTTATGACTTTATGTTTTAATATTTATTAGTTCTAGTATTACTTCCTACTAGATCTATTAGTAGATCTAGATAAAGTGGTTTAATATTAATAAACCTATTTTGGTATCGCAGTTGGTAACTTTATAAAAGTAAAGATCTAGATCTAAATCTAGAAAATGTAGATCTAGATTCTAGTTAAAATCCATATGGTAAACATAAACATCAACAACCGCGGGAAAATAACCCAGATAGCCAGGTTTTTATAGATTTCACTGCCACACATTCACATTTCAAAAATTTTCGGCTGATTTAAAATCCCTAATTTAAAAAAAAAAAAAAGAACTAGGCATTGGGCTCTTGATCTACATCTGGATCTATCTATACGAGATGGGTCGAGTGGCACAGGTAGTTCTTTCAGGCAATTTCCCGGGGAAAGGAGACAGTCTTCCCACTCCCTGGACAAAAAATAATTATTGAATTCCAAATTTAGATTGAATATTTTTTTAATCCGACCATAGTCCACCCCCCCCCTCACTTGTCCTCAATTATCTGTCTACATACGTTCTACATACGTTCTAGACATCATTCCTGCCAGAGTTTCTTCCAGGCATCCCCCACCCCCGAACGAAATAGAATTTATATAGAAGACATAATCTTTTACCCGTGTCCGCCCCCCCCCCCTCCTTCGGAAAATGTTTTTCCTTGCTTTCTTTCTTTCTTTCTATTTTTCTCATATACAATTTGCTTGACCGTATACGGTAACACGGCTTAAACGAATTCACCACAGTTAAATAAAAATTTTAAAGGACAGAAAACTCGGTTAAGTATGAGTGTTGTTTTTAATTTAACTGCTTATTCCCCTTGACAAAAAAACATGGCAAAATATCATTTTTGTAGAAATATTTGTGATACGAAATTATAATTATTTCTACTATTTTTATTTTATTATTTTTTTATGAAGACTAGATTCAACTTGATTTTGCATTTGAGTTTTATGTAAATATAGCATATTACATATATGTGTGTGACAGTTGTGTGTTAGTGGGGTGGATGGAGGAGTAGAGGAGAAGTATATATTTTTTTCTGATATATATACATATGTAATATATATATGTGTGTGTGTGTGTGCGCGCGGCTGACAAGATTTCAACTAATAATACGTTGCTAAAAATGTAAGATGTGTGTTTCCTAACGACTTAACTACTCCCATATATCCCCTCACAGTTGTCCAGTTGTTTCTTTTTTTTTTTTTTTTTTTTTTTTTTATCTATGGAACCAATGTGAATATGGAATATTAGCCAATATAGCTAGATATCTATATGCCACTAATTGGAGGGATTATAAGTTTGACCACACATTCACAGGTAGTCAAAATAGTGTGTTTTCTTCGATTGGTCAGAAGATTCTTTTTTAAATAGTGGCTTTAGCTGTATGCTATTTTGGCAGCATTTGTGTTATTGTGTTGTTCTGTCCATTCGTTTTTGGGTTGCATGATGGTGTTATTTTTTAGGCTAACCAAAAGGTGAGTTATTACAATCAACACGAAATATTGTCAAACGACACTCCTCCTCGAGAATAACTCCTTTTTCAACTACACGAAACATATAACTAATTATCAAAAGTGTTTTTCTGATATTAAATTATACATAGAAATACGTCATTTTTTAACATGGTAACAGTCGCTAGGTCGGGTGTGACCCGGTGCGACACCTCATGGTGTTATCCCCCCCCCCCCCCCCAAAAAAAAATAAAAGTATATGTATATATATATATATATATATATATATATATATATATATATATATATATATATATATATATATATATATATGGTCTACATAGGTCTATATATAGTTGTAATTGGTGTCACCCCCTCCAATTTTGTCTAATGGCGTTAATTTGTGTGCACATTATATTAATCCACCAATTAATTCATGTGGACGGGAAAAAAGCATCGTTTTCATCGTAAATTATTAGATTTCGTTGTCACCTGGTCGATGATTGACTTATCAGTTATATAAAATACTCAGCAAAACCTTTTTCCTCTGTTAAGTTTGTAGTAGGTGTACACTTCCTCCCCCCCCCCACCTTAACTAGCCTCGAGTAATAGTGATAGTTTTAAAGTATGCACAGTTAATAGTAAAGATGTTTATCTATAGTTAGTTATTAATCTAGGTGGATTAACTCTAATTAATTATTAATTGAACTGGTAGAAAGCGTATTTCTTCTAAATATATTTTGCAACTTTCACCATGGTGTCACCCCCCCCTAAATGATGTCACCCGGTCACCCGGTGCGGTCCTCACCCCGTCCCCTCCTCGCGACGCCTCTGCCTAGTAACAAAAGACAACGGATTGCTCAAACGTAAAGTATGGCTACATGGTTACCACAATTTATAATTTTCGAATGGTTTTCATTTCTATGCATTAAATAATTTTGCTACACACCAATGCGGTGAAAATCTTACCGATTACGAGGTCAAAAAAAAAGCGACACCCCCATCCCACGCTTCCTTTCTATAGGAAGAAGGTTCGTTGACCATTTTATAATTTTAACGCTTTCGACTAAACGGCATGAATTTTCCTGTTTTGTAATCGATGTAAAAATAGTTTAATAAACCCGTAACGTCAATTTTGTCTTTATTTTCAAAATTTTGACTATTTCAGCAATTAAGCTTAGAATGGGCTCTTTACTTTTTTACGCTACCCCCCCCCCCCTCCTTGTGAAGAAGTAAGACAAGAGGGGGGGGGGGGAGGAAACAGGTACTGCTTGCATTGCGTGAGATCATACGCCGAAGATGATCAATAAGTAGACAATAAATACGCCTTATATTAACCAAGATTAAGAGGAAACCAAGATTAGTTCGAATAAAGTATAGTTTTACATCGCTTTTATGTTTAGAGCAGTGGCGTAGGCAAGGGGGGGGGGGGGGGTTAGGGGGGGTTATAACCCCTCCCATGGACCCCGACCCCTATATATATATATATATATATATATATATATATATATATATATATATATATATATATATATATATATATATATGATATATAAATATTTTTGAACCCCTCCCATGGCAAATTCCTGGCTACGCCACTGGTTTAGAGTGTATTATTGAAAACTTATTTTCTTAAAATAAAATTGGATCTAGATCTACAGAACTATCATCCAGTGTTTCTTCCAGACTTTTTTCACAGGGGGGGGGGGCTGGGCGCAGAGGCGTAGCGACCCTTCCCGGTGCCCGGGGACAAACGTTTCGATTTGCACCCCCCCCCAAACTTTTGATTTGCACCCCCCCCCCCTCAAACTTTCGATTTCCACCCCCTCAACCTTTCAATTTATTTTTCCAATCCATTTAGGCGCCCCCTAAGGTCGGCGCCCGGGGACATATGTGCCCCCTCCCCCGCTACGTTACTGGGGGGGGGGGCGCACTTGATATTTTCGTGGGGGAGGGGGGCGGACACTAGTAAAAGTATATGTTTTCTATATAAACTCCATTTCGTTCGGGTGGGGGGGGGGGGCAGTAGACTTTCTTCCATGCATCTCTTCCGAAGAGATGCCTGGTAGAAACTTTGCTCTCATGAAGAAAACTGAAATAAAATCGTCTTTTAAATTTATAATTAGACTCCTTGTTTTAATCGGTTTGATTTAGTTATTTGTCAGTGGATTTCGGTAAAGTAAGGGGAATTTTATGAGTTCAACGTTAAGGTCTGTGGTGAAATCATTTCAGAAAGCTATAATAAACAACCCGTAATAATAATAGTGTATGAAATAGATAAAATAAGGAGGCCAGGCCTGGCCTAAGCTAACGTGGATTTTAAAATAGACTTCGCTTTTAACAGGATGTGACGTTGTGTTGATTTACTTTTTAACTTCCAACGCAGAAAAATCTTATTGGGTTCTCGCCCTTCCCTTCCCTGTCACGGAGTGAACCTGAACGACCGGCCCACTAGACAGTAGGACGGGCTTCAAACCTAAAGGGGAGGCGGACTAAACGTCGTGCTGACTGTAGACTCTATAATATTTTAGTGCATAACAACATTCATGCTTTCCTAGCTTAAACCAAACAAGTAAGTTAAATCACTTGTTATATTATTTTATTTTGTAAACTGGGGCCTCAATTTGTTCTTTTGAATCTTTTTTAACTGTAAAATTTAAGTTTTGCAAAGTAAAAAACAGGCCTGTTGCTGTTGATTTTTTTTACTGATTTTCTACAGTTCTAGATTCTAGATATAGTCTAGATGTATCTAGGCCTTTACTAGATTTAGATCTAGATCTAATCTATATAGATTATAGATTTAGATCTATAGATTCTTACTTAGTGTGTATTTCATACTAGATCTAGATCTAGACTAGATCTAACCTTCTACTTTCTAGAGACTAGAATCAGTAGAATGAGTAGATTGACTAGATCTAGTCTAGATGACTAGATTCTAGATCTAGAGATCTAGATTTCTAGTCTAGAGTAGATCTAGAAATCTAGATCTAGTATGTTTGGCAGACAATTTTATGAATTATTTCTTGAAGTGAGTTCCTAGGACCTAGATCTAGATCTAGATCTACTACTAGAATCTAGATTCTAGATCTAGTAACTAGCTAGAAATCTAGATCTAGATTCTAGAGTACACTAGACTCTACTCTAGCTAGACTCTAGACTGTCTATAGACTCACTCAATGAGTTGAATAGTTGACTAGTGATCTAGATCTAGAGATCCTAGTGTTTGCGTCCACTGTGCAGTTTGTCCATAGCCTTGTCCACAACCTACACACTGCCTAGATTCCAGACATTTGATTTTTATGCTTACCTAAGTTATATCTCATTAGTTATTATTAGTAAGCCTTAGTAGACCAACTTCTATGCCAATCTATGCCTTACTAAATGATAAAAGTAATAATAGGCTAATTAATGTAATTATGTTTTAGTTTAGGCCTACATATTTTCAATTACCCTTCCTACACTTGTATTAGGTCGATTAGGATCTAGATCTATAGCCTGAACTACTACTACAAGAAAGTGCCTCTAACTTAAGTTACTTATGGAAATAGGCCTGGTTTCTACTATAATCAGCATTTGTGTCTATTATATAAATGAAGTCAGTTAAGCATTTTTAGTTACAAGTAGATTGTGAATGCGTTTTTTATAGGGCTAATGTGCAAACACCATTTGTATATTAAGACTTACCTCATAAACAGAACTTAACATTTATTACTGCATATTTTTTTGCCCTTCTAGGTATTGAAGATTAGGTAGGCTACATTAAAAAAAAAATTAATATCATTTTTCTAAAAGGAGATTTGGCCTTAAGAATTTCTGTGATTACATTTTAGTTGGTGATTTAAAGTTTTATACATGTTCTATGTACCATGATTGTATTGTAATTTTTAGTGTTTGGTTTTACATTTGTCATTGTAATGAAAATGTAATGAAAGCAATTTTTATAATGTATGATTCTATGCCATCATTTGAATATTTTTTTTGTTTCAGATCAAATCACTCTAAGGTTTTTTTTGGATTATGCCAGTAGAGTCATCACAGGACACTCCCCTTGTCCAGTATCACCACCGTCACCCAAGCCACCACCACCATCATTTTTTGCCATGCTACGCTGAGGGCCTGGGTCTGGTTCCAGGACCAGATGACCTTTGTCTGTCCAGTACAGCAGAGCATATAGCAGCTTCAGCAGCAGCCCTATCACTTGATAGTAATGACAATCTCATAAGCACTCATAGCCCACCACTCATCAACTTAAGTCCGAACCTCAGCCCCTCTTCTGAATCTCGTGTTTCACCATTTTATGATTTTAGGGAGACCACCAGACGACGAAGCGCCCAGGGTAAGATTTTTCTTTAAATACTTTGTGCTTGTGTATTGTATTTATTTAAGAAGTGTGTTCAGTTAAATTCCTTCATTTGTCGCAGTTCTAAAAATTAAATTTTACATCTATAGCTTTGTAATGGTTAGTGTTTTTTTAGCATTATTTCTATATTAATTTTGTGCGTAATCTTAAACATTTTATAGCATTATGCCATTGTTCTCCTCACACAATATCTGAAACTTTTGTTTGCTATATACATGGTTATGTTATTTGAATCACTATCTACTAGGTATTGCATTGCTAACAGCAGGTCTTTTTTAAAAATAACTTATTACAATAAATCAATGTAATTCCATGTCTCTAAATAAGTAGCATACATTTTTCATTCTGTCACTGGTTTTTACCTTGAGGGTTTCCCCTACCCCTCCCATGTTCCCATCCCTTGTAAATCCATTATTCCCTGGTTCCCCTTTCCTCTGTCACACTCAAGCCTGCTGTGACCCTCCCAGAGTATCAAATTGCCAGCCAGCTTTCTGCCTCTGGGGAAGGAAGTTGGTGAAATGGGGTGGGTGTTTGGAGGAATAGATTTGGCAGACTTGAATAGAGATGAAGTCCAATGCTTGAAAGGTTATTCTGATATTTACCTGTTGGGTACAATTCAGGCTTGATTTAAAATTGACTTTAACTCTATCCTATACTCTGCTTAAAGGTATTTTTTTTTTAAATTATGTAATAATTTACATATCTTTTTTTTTAAATATAAGAGCTAATTTTAGTTCATGTTATTTCTTTTTACAGCTAGATCTATAGTAATAAGGGGGGAGGGGAATTATTGGGAGAGGGGAACATTGGCCAACACAATACACTCAGTGGTCTGTGTTGAGATTATCATCTTTTTGGGTTTACACTCCTTTCTCTATTGTATTTAAGAAGTGTGTACAGTAAAATATTTTTCATTCTTTTTTATCTGACTGTATACATTAAATTATAACTGTCACCCATACTTTTTTATGGAGTTTCTTTGAACATAGTTTTTAAAAAATGTGGGTTAAAAATATGCCACAGCCCAAACCTCAGACATAACCGTCACCCATACTTAACTTTTTTATGGAGTTTCTTTGAACATAGTTTTAAAATGTGGGTTCAAAATATGCCACAGCCCAAACCTCAGACATATGTTGTAAATGTGGCACTGACTAGCCCATAGAGCAATGAGAAATAACCTCAACAGGAAACACTATTTTAACACTGTACTTCACTTCCTTGAGTCACACTGACAATTTAAATTTCCTGCTTGACCCTAGCTAGCATTAGTAAAACTAGCATCTGTAAATATATATTTAAAGTTGCGTGATTTTAATAAATGTTTGTTGTTCGAGAATGTTAAGTCAATTTTTAAAATGTAAATTATTACCAGAACCTGGTTTATTTTTAAGGACACAAGTCCATTAAGTATATTACCAGTTCATGGAATAAAATAAAAATTGTAAATCAAATATTTAAAAACAATTTCCTTTGAGAAACAATAGAATTTTTATTTTTTTTAAAAGAATTTTTATATTTTTGTGGATTTTGAAGTTGATCTAGTTAGACTTATCTTCATATTAATGAAAAGTAAACATAAATGGTAACTTTGTGGTAAAATGGACATAGGCTGTTTTTTTTTTATTTATACAAAATGAATTGGGTAAATGCTGTATACAGTAGAACAGAATTTAACTGCCTCGGGAACAGGGCATTTCCCCCCTGTCAATTACCCCCCACCCAGTAGGACATTACCCCCCGGACAGGGTTAAAGTTAGGATTAGGGTAAGGGCTAGGGCTAGGTTTAGGGTTAGGTTTTAGGGTTAGGGCTAGGGTTAGGGTTAGGTTTTAGGGTTAGGGTTAGGGTTAGAGCTAGTGTTATTGTTAGGGTTAGGGTTGTGTCTAGCGTTGGTTTTGGTTTTGTGTGAAGTTTTAGGCTAAGGTGGATGCTTAGGTTTTGGTCTTTTTCTTAAGGTTTGGATTAAAGTAGTATAAAGGTATAGAATTCTAGTTAGAGTTAGAATTCTAACTTGAGAGGGGGGGGGTAATTGACAGGGGGGTAATTGCTCCGGGGGGGGGGCGGGGGGGGGGGGGGACTTTCCAGGGGGGTAATGTCCTGTAGCCAACTGCCTCACAGCCAGTTAGTGATGAAATAAAAAATAGAGATTTACTGAGTGGTTTTTTGTTTGTTTGTTTTTATTTGAAGAGAAACATGAACATTTTCTATTCTATATCACCAGAGTAGCCATTATTATGTTTATAAGTAACATACCAACAGCTGTAACTATGTAAAATGTGAAACACCTTATTTGGGGGTCCAATAGAGCTGGGATTATTATCCCATTCCCCACCCCCCAAATCTTTGATTATGGCACTGGGCTATATAATAAGCTACAGATTATGTCAGAATGTATTGACACATAGTTGATTGCAGCGTGACATTAATTACACATATTGAAGCATTTTATCAGGGCTATATCAACATGCCTTTCTGAGATGTTGTATTTATTGCTTTTGCTTCAGTACGTATGTATGTGTGTAAAATCTATAGTGTTGCATTCTGTGCACGTCCATTATTTTTCTGCCTCCACTCTAGATTCTCACAGTGGTAACCACCCAATGCAACACTCCCCTCAAGTCATCTCTGGATATATAACTGCTGACGACTCTGGAAGAAAGGTACCTTCTTTTTTTCCATTTGCTCCAGTTCCATGTAGAGGGTATTTTTCTATGCTAATTCCAATATGGATGATAGAAATAGGGTGGATTTTTCCCTTTGAATCCCAATACTCAAATATTGATTTGTCCTTGCAATAGTGCAATATCTGGGCAAAGTCGCAATATAGTGTATGTATGTATAAGTGTGTGTGTGTGTGTGTTTAAAATCTAGTGAATCTGTTCTAAGTATCAGTTTAGTGGCTACTACTTTAGGTTACTGTAATACCTATGGATAGTATAGCTCGTCACAGTTGTTCCATTTAATCTTTCTTTCATGCGTAGTATCTGGGTGAATGAAATGCAATTATCCCCGCCCATCCCCCTTCCTTTTGCTTTTTTTTTTAGTTCTCATTTGCATTGCTCTTCATAGCATTTTAAAATAAACGCCACACCACTCAGTCCTTCACTTTTCCCCCTCCCCCACCCCTTCATCCCCACGCACGCCGTCCTTCATTATGAGAGAAAGGCTTTTGTGCAAGCCAACGGTACAGAGCCATAGTAACCAGATGTTGCCGATGATATTGCGGTGCATAACGGAGCCGGGAGCGAGGGAGAGACATTGATTGTAGATGCCCCGGTTTTGTCACATGTGTGTCGACTGTTTCGTTTTGGGAGTCGGGTCCGTGCATTAGTAAACATGGCTGACGGTCTGAAATTGCAGGGGTCCTTTTTCTTTCTCCCTTGGTAAAATACAAGTGTGTGCAAAACGGTGTGTTTGCACTCGGTGTGTATTTGTCGAGCTTCAAAGAAAACCCTAAAATGAGAAAGGAAACCTAAATTGAAGCCGTGTGTTTGCCCTTATTTCCTCCACTTGCCCAAGCATGGCTTTTCCCTCCGTTGTTTTTACATTTCCCCTACTTGAAACACGTCCGTCCACTGTGCCTTCAGGTTTTTTTTCGGCGTGCCTAGCTGAAACATTTTTTTTTTGTTCCAGCACTTTGCTTTAACTATCGTATAGAAAAGTTGGTCAGTGCAGTAGTTTGTGTAGAGGTAGGCCTACTTTAGTGTGCCCAGCATTTTGCTTTACCTATCGTATAGAAAAGTTGGTCAGTGCAGTAGTTTGTGTAGATGTAGGCCTACTTTAGTGTGCCCAGCACTTTGCTTTACCTATCGTATAGAGAATTTGGTCAGTGCAGTAGATGTAAGCCTACTTTAGTGTGCCCAGCACTTTGCTTTGCTTCTCGTATAGAAAAGTTGGTCAGTACAGTAGATTCTAGTTTGTGTAGAGGTAGGCCTACTTTAGTGTACCCAGCACTTTGCTTTAGCTATCGTATTGAAAAGTTGGTCAGTGCAGTAGTTTGTGTAGATGTAGACCTACTTAAGTGTACCCAGCATTTTGCTTTACCTATCGTATAGAAAAGTTGGTCAGTGCAGTAGATTGTGTAGATGTAGGCCTACTTTAGTGTGCCCAACATTTTGCTTTACCTATCGTATAGAAAAGTTGGTCAGTACAGTAGATTGTGTAGAGGTAGGCCTACTTTAGTGTGCCCAACATTTTGCTTTACCTATCGTATAGAAAAGTTGGTCAGTACAGTAAATTGTGTAGATGTAGACCTACTTTAAGCGTGCCAAGCTGAAACATTTATTTTTGTTCCAGCTATGTAGTAGGTAGAAGTACTTCGCCATGGGGTTAAGTTCATGATGAAATGGTTTAGTGTGCTACATAGGGTTAATTTTTAAGGGCCTTTGATAGCCTTACAATATGATACAGTGGGATCTATGTAAAAAAGTAGCGTATTTTTTTTTTATATTCATATGAAACGGGCACAGTGGTAGTCTTTCCAGTGAAGAAATAAAATAGATTTTTAGCTGGGTAAAGAATGTTGAACCTGGTGCATTGTCACGTGGCCAGCTCATCTTTTTTCTCTTTATTATAAAATTACACCCCCTGTCATCTTATCTCCCCCTTTTCCTCTTGCGATCCCCCAGCCCCCTCCTTTCGACATCGTAGCAGACAATGGCAGTTGAGTTTCCTGTTCACTTCCCGCTTTTTTTTCTTTTGGGTTCCTTTATTGTGGCAGCTCCCTGCTGTAGTCCAGAGAATCGCTTATTTCGTCCTTTCTCCTCCCCGGGAACACGAGCTTCCATGTTAATTCACCCTCACATTCTCCTTTTTTTCACAGACTAGTCTATTCTCCCTAATATGCAAACTGGTATTTTTTACTCCCTTTCTCACAATGGTATACATTTTATTTCTCCCAGATACCATACCATTCTCTTCTCATTTTTAGTTTATCCCGACACACAAAGTTGTCCATTTTCCTTTCGTTCTCCCAATAACAAACCCATCCTTTCTCCCAACATATAACCAGACGGTAAGCAAAGCCATTCTCAACCCTCTGCGATTCTCCTCCCTATTACACAAACTCGTCCATTCTCCCTATTACACAAACTCGTCCATTCTCCTCCCTATTACACAAACTCGTCCATTCTCCTCCCTATTACACAAACTCGTCCATTCTCCCTATTACACAAACGTGTCCATTCTCCTCCCTATTACACAAACGTGTCCATTCTCCCTATTACACAAACTCGTCCATTCTCCTCCCTATTACATAGACTCGTCCATTCTCCTCCCTATAACAAAACTCGTCCATTCTCCTCCCTATTACATAGACTCGTCCATTCTCCTCCCTATTACACAAACTCGTCCATTCTCTCTATTACACAATCTCGTCCATTCTCCTCCCTATTACACAAACTCGTCCATTCTCCTCCCTATTACACAAACTCGTCCATTCTCCTCCCTATTACACAAACTCGTCCATTCTCCTCCCTATTACACAAACTCGTCCATTCTCCTCCCTATTACACAAACTCGTCCATTCTCCTCCCTATTACACAAACTCGTCCATTCTCCTCCCTATTACACAAACTCGTCCATTCTCCTCCCTATTACACAAACTCGTCCATTCTCCTCCCTATTACACAAACTCGTCCATTCTCCTCCCTATTACACAAACTCGTCCATTCTCCTCCCTATTACACAAACTCGTCCATTCTCCTCCCTATTACACAAACTCGTCCATTCTCCTCCCTATTACACAGCTCGTCCATTCTCCTCCCTATTACACAAACTCGTCCATTCTCCTCCCTATTACACAAACTCGTCCATTCTCCTCCCTATTACACAAACTAGACTCAACGATTTTTTTTTTGTCTTTTGTCATCTAAACGCCACCCATGGCTGGATGAGTGATTGATTCTTCATTCTCAGCCGTGCATCAATCAATCTTTCCCTCCTTCATCCTCCTAACCCTGTGCTCGTGCGTCCTCTTTCTTCCTAGCTTTGTCTGCCGAACGCATCGTGCTCTCCACCCCCCTCCTTCCTCTTAACATGGAAATTTTGGAGAGGATGGGGGTGATTATAGGTACGCAGATGCACTCACTAACAGCAGTGACATAATCAATGTTATCGTTGGCGTGCATTCACCGAGCTTGTTTGACAGAGGAAAACGGGGCCAATGGAAAGAGCGGATGAGGGGGGGGGGAGGATTGGGGCCCTGCTCCCTGGAGGGATGTTTTAGAAGCTTTAAGTCTGGAACCCACTGTTGTCTTTTAAAAATGCGATTTATGTGTGTGGGGGGCAGGGGTGGGTCGGGGCGAGGCTTAATTAGTGTTGTGACAACAATGGTGTTTAGTTGGACTTCTCCCACTCTTTTAGCTTTAGTTTAACTTTAGTCTCACTCGTCTGCTTTTGTCTCACTTCTCGCTGTTACTCTTAGTTTTTCTCTTACTGTGTGCTAAACTTTTAAATTTTTGTCTCAGTATGTGCCACCATTCTAGCCTTTGTCTCACTTGATGCCACTATCCCAGCCTCTGTCTCACTTGGTGACACTATCCCAGCCGCTGTCTCACTTGGTGACACTATCCCAGACTTTTTTCTCAATTGGTGCCACTATCCCAACCTTTGTCTCACTTGGTGCCACTATCCCAGCCTTTGTCTCACTTGGTGACACTATCCCAACCTTTGTCTCACTTGGTGCCACTATCCCAGCCTTTGTCTCAATTGGTGCTACTATCCCAGCCTTTGCCTCACTTGGTGCTACTATCCCAGCCAATGTCTCACTTGGTGCCACTATCCCAACCTTTGTCTCACTTGGTGCTACTATCCCAGCCTTTGTCTCACTTGGTGCCACTATCCCAGCCTTTGTCTCACTCGGTGCCACTATCCCAGCCTGTCTCACTCGGTGCCACTATCCCAGCCTGTCTCACTTGGTGCCACTATCCCAGCCTTTGTCTCACTTGGTGCCACTATCCCAGCCTTTTTCTCACTTGGTGCCACTATCCCAGCCTTTGTCTCACTTGGTGACACTATCCCAGCCTTTTTTCTCACTGGGTGCCGTAGTTTCAAGCTTTCAAATCTTTGTGTAGCCTAGCATTAGCCTTCAAACCAGCTGAGTTCATATATTTCCAGCCGAGTTCATGTATTTTGTAGAGTGATACATTTTGGCACATACCAGCTCGCTAGATTTCGGCATAGCACTAGCATTCAAACCTACCACACATACAGGGCATTCTGGGTACTGACGGAATGATTGCGTTCAATTACTTTACCCTTTCAGAGTCCCCTCCCCCCTTTCATTATTACGTTTAAATAAAGCTAGTTTTTTTTTTATAAAAAATACCCTGCAAAAATAATTTCAAATGGAACCCACTTTACATTGTTACGTTAGTAATTGGCGCCATTGATTTCTTATACGCTGAACCCCCTGCAACCCAGCAGCGCCAACGATGTTTAATTAGCGCAGTCTTCTGTTCCTTGTGATCCCCCCCACACACACAACTGCTAATGCCATACAGTCATTGACGTCAGGCAGGAATATTTATAGCACTTAACAATATAAATTGTATGTTGATTTTTTCTTTAAAAGATCGTTGATCATTAAAACCTAGATGTCATGGGTGGGCTAATTACTAAATAGTACCGTACGATCACAGAGATGCTGTTATTACTGTTG